GGCGTCAGGTTGAACTGGCAGCGGTCGACCTTTCCTTCACACAGCCGTCGGACCGACAGAGGACGACCAAAGTTGACGTGCATGCAGCCGTAGTCCTCCTGCAGGACCCTGGTGGCCTTCAGCAGACCCTGAGGAGGAGACAGCAGGAGATAAAAACACCTTTCTGTACACCTGCAGGTTCTGAGGTTCCCTGAACGCACCGCCGTGCTCTCCTTGGGCTTGGGGACGCCCAGCAGCTCGTGGGCCAGCAGAGACTCCTCCAGAACTCGGTCGTAGCTGATGCTGACGGGGACCAGCGTGATGTCGAACACTTCCCCTTTGAAGAAAGGCTCCAGGACCATCTGCATCATCCCTGCAGGCACAGAGACACAGGACAGCACGCTTCAACGTCCACGTCTGACCAACTAAACCGACCAGTTTAAGGTCCGCTTTTCTTCCTTCAGTTTGCACAAAGCGTCTAGAACCACGAACAGATCTGGTGTCGCTGGGAGCAGAACGTTCTGCAGCATCAGGCATCATGTGATCCTGAGCAGGAAGCTGCAGGTAAACTGAGCAGCTTGTTTTCTACAGCTGTGGGTGTCGAACACTAACAGCAGAACAACACGTCTATACGAAGAAATGTCACCCAAAATAATACGACAAACGACCGGTTAAATATCTCCGACTGGGAGGCTGGATTAAAGCTGCCATGTAAATATAAACCACAGACAATATGTTAAAAAAAACTGTGAAAACAACAGCAAATATCCGTGAAGTAACAATGTTTTAGCCGGTTTAAATAAAATAAGAACTGTGGAACTTTATGGTCACACATTTTATTGAACAAATGTCTATCTTTGTGTTTGTTTTTCTTTTTACCGTTCACATGTAAATTAACACTTTCTTCCTGGGATTTTATTTGCAAACCCCCTGATGTCAAAACAACTCAGACTTTTATCGTTTATTCTGCCTTTAACGGCCAATCCGGCATTCCCACCTTCTCCCACAGAGGGAGGTTACGATCGCTGGAGAGAAACGGGACTGTGTTGGGTCGAGGATCTTCTCTATTCGTCTGGATGTTTGTTTTGTTATGAGGAAGAACCAAGGAAGCCCTGATC